CACACATTCCTATGTTTGTTCGTACTCCTCTATCGAATGTTAAAATAAGACATCATCATAATAACTACTTCTAATACGCAGCTTCTGAAATCTGTAACGACTAGTTTAGTGTAAACCAAAGGTCCTATACCTATGAACCTAATTGTACTACTATTATTTTCATTAACCCTTTAGGTCTTATAACATCCCTTGATTTTTGTAATTTTCGTCTTAGATCTATAATTGAATATATCAATAACTACTAAAGAAATGAACCATTTATTTTGTAATTATTTACTGAATTCTAAATTTGCACATTTAGAAGGAATTTGTAAATATTCAAATATAAGAGAACATCCTGAACAATCAATGGTCTGTTTTATTTCCCTTTGTAATAGCAACTAAAGATCACCCCCAGTTTTTGGTTTCCTATGTTGTTTTGTGTACTGTTGTTTGTCTTTTTGACTTTTGCATTTTTAGCCATGGCGTTGTCAGTTTATTTTCGACTTAAATCATTTAATTGGTAAAACCTTTACACTATTCCAATTGAATTTATTGAAAAATATCTTAATATTAAAATAAGAAGTTGTGGTATGATCGCCAATGAGACAACTCTTACCAGAGAACAACTATAGGTCACCATACGGCCTTCAACAATGAACAAAACCCATACCGCATAGTTATATATACAGCACTTGGATGGTGTAAACTTCCCAAAAAAACGTGTACGGTGTTATGGTGTATGGCATATGGTGCAATGGTAGAAGGTGTATGGTGCTATGGTGTTTGGTGTAAGGGGAATGGTGTTATGGTTTAACGTGCGATCGTGAATGGTGTGAATGAATGGTGTACGACATTTAAAACTATGCAAAATATTAAAAGAACTGATTTTTAATTTTATACATTAAGTTACAATATTGTGATCAAAATTCGTTTTTAAAAATAAATAAATAATTTTGTAGTCGCACGCTTTCTTTGAAATTAAATTGCACTATGGTGTAATGTGTAAGGTGTATGGTGTAATGGCACAGAGTGTATGGTGTAATGGTGTATGGTGAATGGTGTAATGGTGTTTGGTGTATGGTGCTAGTGGGAAGTTTACACCATCCAAGGAGTGTAAAAGGCTCCAATATGACAAATTTAAAACAATTAAAACGAGAAAACTAACGGCAACCTCTGAGTAACAGGCTCCTTAAACTTATTTTACGAGGGGACAACTCACTTTGATTAAAGCAAAAAAAAAATCTGAAAATGATAATATTAGAATGCTAGATATTCTATTTAAAGATATTTTATACGATTGATAAACTTTCTTGTATTACTGGGCAGTCTTACATGTCATTTGGAAACCAACTGTAACCCACCCTTGCTTGTCGACTTGCCTTTTTAGAAGCAGACTATTTACAGAAGCATCTGAAGAAAATGTCCAAGAAGCTGTGTTAACCTCTAACGTTACATTCCGCTATATAGATTATGTCCTTTCGTTAAATAATTCAAAGTTTGATGACTGATAAAATAAAGGATACCATGGATACAAAAAGTCTTCTTCATATTTAAATTACATCTAGAAATTTACAATAAGGGTCGGTTAGGATCTAAAATTCGCCACAAAAGAGACGATTTTGAATATCCAATATATTGCAACAAAGACATTTCCAATAGAACTGCTGATGAAAAAGACTGTTAATTTTGCAATTACAGCGCTAGCTTTATCAGAGCGCCGTATGCGTATTGGACATAACAGTGACTTTGTTTGCTTTACATACAAGGCATATTTACATACTGATGGTATATTTAGTTAATGGAGAGCTGCTAAAATTGAATATTTACCTCTATATTATACAGGAACTGAAGATGTTCGTGAAATCTTTTTACCTACAGCGCTAGATATATATAATTCAAACTTATGTTTTTTCTAGACAATATGTTTTTGTCGTCCACCTGTTTGCTATTTAGCATTCAAATAGGTCTTACAAATCTTGTCATAGAAATAATGTCCGGATATGGAATGTGATATAAACAGTTTTATGAAGTTTTGCGCCAATGTCTTACGTGACACTGCTCTTGAGCTCCTTTCTGAAGACGATCACTTTTTCCCTTTACTTGTCAAAAACATTAATTAATCATGAATGATTTAATCTTATGATTATATAATTGTAGATATTACAAATCTCTGTACAAGAAGAATTAAAGAATATATAATTCATTTGCGATTGCTCCCTTTGGTACTATTTGTATCTTCTCAAACTTTGTTGGAGTCTAAATTTCTACATGCAATACGAGGGTACATCCTAGAATTTTCAATGCATTATGAGACAAAACGGTAAAAGACATTGGAAAACTCTTATTTTGATTATGTTTTTCAAAAGAGAGGTAAATATGCCGTCGTGTGGCTCATGGTAATACAAACCCGGTGAAAAGTCTAAATCGGTAGGTCAGGTTCTGAGTAAATAGAACGGGATTGCGGTTACGACAATTTGAACACACATATCCTTCCTCATCTTTGAAACAGATAATTCATAACGGTCAACCAACTCGTGATGGCGTCCGTAACATTTATGAAGGAATGACTTCAAATTCACCACTTGGAACTCCTGATTTAATAGCTTCCTTGTGAGCAGCAACTCTCTATCAAGGAAATCATGATAGGAAATACAAGCCCTGAAATATCGTATCAACTAAGAGATATATACTCCATATGCCGGTGCTACTGGAATGTTGCTACAGAAAAATGGAAAGTTCTCATCTCTTTTGTCGTAAAGTTTTGTTTTCAACCGACCCTCATTGTCATTTTTTTTTTATGTAAGCCAACGCTTATTAATCGAATAACTATGAGATAATATTTTTATATATGTTTGCTGAAAAATAGATTGAGCTGTGTAAATATATAGTACAAATAAATTCACAGATATTATTTTTAAAAAGATAATGATTTTTTTTAATATGATAATGTTAAAACAATATAGGTCGATTGTAAGTTATTTATTCTTGCCGCTGATTCAGGTCTCTAAGAAAGGTATTTCTATATTTACTTTTAGCAATTAGTTATACAGAATCATTGACAGACATTTGAGAATTTGTTTTTTTCTATTTATGTTTATTTGCAAAACAATATTCCTACTGTGGTTATTCATCACTGTAAAGCAATGCAATTATTGTAAATAAAACTGATTTCGTCTATGTATCTTGTTTTCTATATCCATCTTAGAGTTGAGATGTAGTTAGATTTCAACAATTTCAGGTCACCTTTAGGCCTTTTACAATTAGTCAGATTTATACTAAAACAATAAACGGAAAACAATTAAGGTAGGCAATAATAAACGACTTGATTACAGGCTTCTACTTTAAAAAAGGCACATACAGAATAAAAAGGGTTAACACGTATATGTGTTAGAAGCCAACTATCTGTTGGTTTTCCTGTTTGAATTGTTTTACACTAGTCATTATGGGGCCCTTTATAGCTTGCTGTTCGGTGTGAGCCAAGGCTCCGTGTTGAAGGCCGTACTTTGACCTATAATCGTTAACTTTTCATACATTATGACTTAGATGGAGAGTTGTCTCATTGGCACTCATACCACATCTTCTTTTTTATATATCCAACTATAAAGCATAATCACAAAATGTAAAAATCGGTTAGAACGTTGAATGCGTACCGATGTAGGCATGTTTGGTCCCCTCTGTCAAATATTCAATACACTTTTACAATATACAAAATTAAAACAAGACTATACCGAACGGTATTGTCAAATTTGTTAAATAATGGTCGGCAACCAGTCTACGACCTAAGAATACTTACATTTAAATTTTACTGACTATTGCTCCGTTGTTTTCCTCTTATAGTTTCCCTCGGTTTTGATTTGTGACCCGGATTTGTTTCAGTTAAATCGATTAATGACTATTGAACAGCGGTATACTACTGTTGCCTTTATTTGCTACAGTTGTTACCAATTTTAACTAATGAATTAATATGATACACTCATGTGAAAATGTCAATCAGTACGTCGTGAACATGTTCAGTGTAAAGACGTCATAAACAGTTTTGGAAAATCATGGCATTATGCCAGGCCAAACAATAAGTATATTTGGTACACGACTAATGACTCAGTGGAAATACATAATTATTTAATATCTATAAGAATTGTTTTATTTAAAGTGTCAAACGAATTGGAATAATCACCGATATCACGCAATTTTTTTAAAGCAGTTAAACAGATTTTTTCCCTAAAATCCATTATGTTGTAATTTTTATAAAATAAATGATAATAAGTTCTGTAATAGTAATCAGGACACTAAATTGGTAGTTGAAGGTACAGAAAGATAAGGTTTGGAACACTTTTAAAAGGCCGGGTCAGAGATGACCTTACACCGAAATGGACTGTAGATATAATTGTCTAGTATTTGATTCTCCGTGAATTGGATTCTCATTTTTAAAAAACGTATAAAAAAATACCAAACTCCAAGGTAAATTAAAAAAAGTGAGGTTCATACAAACTGACAAAATCAAACGTTATCAATCAGCGGAACGAGTGAAAATCAACTGTCACCGTTCTGACTTGTTACATTTATCAACGAAAACGGTGGGTTGAACCTTGTTTTATAGCTTGAATAGAGAAGTAATAAGTAAACGTATTTCAATTATTCCAATTACTTATTCTGATAATTATTAAATTAAAAAATGATTGCCTCAATACATTTGAAATGTTTATTTTCTTTTACAGAAAAAATAGACATGAACTTGCGCGGTCGTCTATTTTGGCTTATATCAGACTTAAAGTTCGACCAGGTTATCTAAATGTTTGATTTCCCATCTGACAGAGATTTATTTATTACACACATCATGCACATGTTCCCATGTTAATTCAAAAGTTGTTTCTATATGACTTTTATACTATTTACATCGGAAATATCACAGTTCAGTAAGCAGTATGTATGAAAAAAACTAACCAACCACAATTTTACACGAATAAGTCAATCAAACTTCATTACTAGTACATTTATATATATATACTTTATCAACTTTCGACAAGTGAGCATTTACAGCACATTTCCACTTAGTAAGAATGAAACTTTTCTATCTATCTGTTGTATTTGTTGTCGTCTTTGGAAGCAGAGGCAACACTCCAATTAGTTATAACGATATAAACGAGCAGCATGGTGATTCTCCTTCCTATGCACACGGTGGATATAATTCTGGTTACTCTCTGAATGGTGGAAACAATTTCTTCCCGTATGATGCACATGTAAACGTCCACAATAGTGGAAACGGTCACTCCCCGTATGGTGGACAAGGTAAATTTCCATATCGTAGACAAAGTCGCTTTGGTCATAAATTTGGACATTTAGGTGAGTACTTAATTCATATTATTTTAACTTGTCACACTGTACTGTTTGAGAAAGCTGATAATTTGTTTCTCGTTGCTATTTATTCCCCGTTTTCTAATTCTAAAATATTTTAGCATCACCAATGTTTATAATAGGGGATATAGGCTATACGTCAATGAGGCAGCAAATCAATGATACCCTTTAACTCTTATATTTCTAGTTTCTCTCTCATTTACGTATATTCATTAACTTTGTTTTAACTAAGAATATTCCTATTGCTTTCTGTTGTTATGATAACAAGAATGATTCCTTCGTCCGGCTTTTATAAAAAACAGAGAGTTTTATGATTCAAATAACGAGTTTTTATCAATACTTTAACCTGTGAGATCAGAACAGTTATCTACAATATAACGTTTTTAATCTTACTATGATGGTTGTTTACGAATATGGTAAATTAAAACCATGCAGTTCATTACTATTGTATGACAGATTGTGTTTGTCCATCAAGCAATAATTAACCATATGTTAATTCACCCTTTGATGAACTGGTTGTTCGTTAAGTTTGTTTGCTGTCACCCGGATGCATACCAAATTTTTACGGTGATGTTGTCAAAACTGGTAAATTTAGATACGATCTGTGCAAACACAAACATCCTTCATATAAACTTTTTTTCAAAGAGGTTCTCACTTTAAAACTGTAATAAGATATTTGGAAACTATTTTAATCTGAACATACATTAATGAAGTGTTTTTATACAGCTTTGACAATTTACGGTCCTACAATCGAATTTCACAAGATCCTGATTTTCTTTGACTGTTTATGACGTATTTTCACTGAATCCATTGTGTGGGTACTAATTAATATTCAAGTCTTATATACAGTCTGTTCTAATTAGTTGTAATTGACTGTGAACTAGTTTTTAGGAAATACGAGTTATCTCAGATCGATACTTTATGTCTTAAGACTTTTTGATAGCTGTTATTTTGTGTGGTATGTTACGATTTGTGATGTCAATCCTTTTTAAACTGATTTTAATTGCTTATTCGTATATCATGCTGTTACACCACTACCCCAAGTAAGTAAAGGAAGGGAGGTTGGATAATGCACCCGCAGACATCTCTGACCAATATGCCTTATGTATGTGTACGTTCTGAAATAAGATGATAAAATTGAGAATGGAAATGGGGAATATGTCAAAGAGACAACAACCCGACCAAAGAGCAGAAAACAGCCGAAGGCCACCAATGGGTCTTCAACACAGCGAGAAAATCCCGCACTCGAAGGCGGGCTTCAGCTGGCCCTTAATAAAAATGTGTACTAGTTAATTGAAAATGGACGTCATACTAAACTCCAAAACGAGCCTGTTGTTCGTTTGTTGCTGTTGATCATATTTGTTTTTCGTTGTCTAAGTTCAGTCTATTAGTTACCTAGATTGTTTTTTTTTTATATTGGCCTGTCACAGAGTTTTGTATCTTGCTATGCAGTACGGGTTTTGCTCATTGTTGAAGGTTGTACGTTGGCCTATAAATGCTATATTACATGTCATTTGGTCTTTAATGGAAAGTTAACTCGTTGGCAATCACCACATCTTCTTAATCTATTATTAATATCATGGATTTGACTGATTTATATGTTCCTCGAATACAAAAAATATCATATTTATACTAATATTTATTAAATTGAGAATGGATTTATGTTGATAATATTGATAATAATAAAAATCTGTGAACAAAAGAAAGTTTCTTTCACTTAAGTGTAATCATATAAAGGATATAAACAATTAAGTGGGTTCAAATTGACCATCCAAATTTGCTATGTTTGTCTTCGATTTTCAGTTAAAGAGAAATATATCAGTTGTCACTCAAAACATAAGTCAAACAATAACATTCTACTTATTGTTGTCCACAAAACGTGACGCAAATACTTACAAAAAGGAGGCGAAAGATACCAAAGGGACATTCAAACTCATAAGTCGAAAATAAGCAGACAACGCCATGGCTAAAAAAGAAAAAGACCAACAGATTAACAATAGTACAGGAAACACAACATAGAAAACTAAAGACTGAGCAACACGAACCTACCAAAAACTGGGGATGATCTCAAACCTGTGTTAAACAAAGTACTCCGGGAGCGTACGTCTTTCTTGCTTTACACATCGTGTGACATTTGTATAGGTTGACTTATCATTACTCCTTCAATAAAGGAATATGCAGACTCGGTATTACAATGAAGTAATAATTTACAGCAAAACAAATTCAACTTCAAATGCCATTTTTGTTTTCATTAAATCCGAATTGATAAATTAACCGGATGGCACATGTCTTGGGACACGCTAGATAATCGATTTATGAACAACTATCATTTTTTTTATATTTCCTTGATGTATATGTGTTTGTGTCTATGACCAAAATATTGTAATTGGTGAATAACCGATTTATGTATTGAATAGATAAATAAACACTTAAGGTAGGACGACTGATAAATCACGCATATTCTGGATGATAACATGATAGTGCAAAATGCATATTCCCTTATTTCAACTAGATTGATACACCAAGTCGCATATTAACTTGCAAGCTCACAGAACGCATGGAGACATTTCATCCAGCTCTGGTACAATAATTTTCACTACGGTATGAATAAAAGAACTGTTGGCTATGCGTTCAGAATAGAACAATTTAAAATATTTGAAATTTGTTCAAACAAGCATAAAGACATGCAGAGGTACAAAGTCTTAATAAAACTGGATAAATGATTTAAACAGAAACTTTCAAATACCCGCCTACAATACAGGAATATTTAAATATGTAATTTAATTAAGACATGACAGAAGACACCCAATGGCGTGTCTCTGACTTTGTACTGGTACTAGTACGCTAACAATTAGGGGTTTCAAGTAGTTTTTACCTAAAGTTACATAACAGAACATACAAAACCTATTTATAAGGGAAAAAATCCGGTCTATAATAATGGAGATATAGACATGATAGATTACGAGTCTATATTTATTTTCTCTCTCACTCATACATGTCGTGTTTTTAGCGGAGAAGAAGATAGAAAAAAGAAAAATGAATGGTTTCACCAATTCGAATATCGTTTCAAGTCGTACTGCAAATGCAAAACTACAGAACAATGAGTCGGGTAAAATTGCTTTAGTGTCTGTATTGATTATACTTTCTATAATTACATTGTAATGTATTTTGAATTGATTTCATCAATCTTTATATATAAACAACGAATAACATATGATTACCTAATATATTCGTTATATTGAGTTTGCATTTTTTTTTTACAGAATGCCTCAGGAAATGTAAAGGTAAGTAAATAATGTTTTTGAACGATATAGTCAAGTTTTCTAATCGGATTAGTAATGTATCAATATTAATGGATGAATAATGATTTTCACAAAATCTTTCATTTTTTTTGTCGCGTACTTTAAAAAAACAGAGGTGGAAGATACCAAAGGAACATTCAAAATCATAAGTCGAAAATAAACCGACATCGCCATGGCTAAAAAAGAAAAAAGACAACGACAAATAACAGTACACTAAAACAACATAAAAAACTAAAGACTGAGCAACACGAACCCTACGATTATTTCAAGAAATATATCACGCCTGAAAGTAGTAGTTGCCTTTACATTTAGTTCATAGAACTTACAATTTGTCTTAAACGTATGGCGAGGGAAAAAAAATGAAAACAACACGTTTTAAATTTCCTGTATAAAGGATGTATGAGAACCGAAACAGTTGAAGAGCTATCAAACCAAAAAGGACGTAAAAATAGCCAAATCAAGGTCAATGTTGCCTGAGGGAGTTGAAACCTTAGTCTCAAACAATTTCAAAATCTTTTAACGAAATTTGTCCGCCTTAGATATCTTTTTTTTTTCAAACAGCACTTCGAACATAACACAAATGTTTTTTATCAACTTTTCGTTGACGGATAACGTCTTGTTTTGACGAGTAATGACATGTCTCTTTTGATGCATGCTTAATATAAGGTTTGCAATGTTTTTCATGTGTTTACTATGAATTTCTTTTCTTCGATAACTTAGAAGAAATAATGTGATGAGTATGTCATCATAAACACGCAATATGTTATAATAGACTTTGACCTATAATCAAAAGATACCTTTTTCGATATTTGATTCAATTAACTTGATAACACTGCAATGAACCGTCAAAGAGACACATCGTTATTAATTTAAAACACACATTCAAACTGTGATACACAACCCACCTGTGTGTAAATAGATATCAGAAGATGTGGTATGAGTGCCAATGAGACAACTCTCCATCCAAGTCAAAATTTATAAAAGTAAACCATTATAAGTCAAAGTACGGTCTTCAACACGGAGCCTTGGCTCACACCGAACAGCAAGCTATAAAGGGCCCCAAAAATTACTAGTGTAAAACCATTTAAACGGGAAAACCAACGGTCTAATCTATATAACAACACTTATGAACCACATCAACAAACGACAACTACTGAACATCAGATTCCTGACTTAGGACAGGTGCAAACAATTGCAGCGGGTTTCAACGTTTTAATGGTACCAAACCTGTTAGTCTATATAACAAAATATTGTAAATTCGGTCGTTAAAGGCATATGTTAAGATAATGCTCAAGATGCTTCGAAAAAAGCAGGACAATGGTGTCATATCAATGTAACGTATCCAAATTTGGACACAGCAAACTAATTGGACACATTCATTTTATGCGAATTAAGACATTAAATGCCAACTGAAGTTAGGAAATATTGCAAGATTCTATGTCAAATGTTACCCATGTGGTAGATAGTTTTTTCAACATAAGGTAAAACTATTCATTATAATTACGAAGTAGATACTCTTGTTTGCGTACTGACTTTCACTGTTTTAGTTAAATAGTTGTTTTATTTCCCATTTATGATCTTGTGTGTTCATTTCGCTAGCACATCTTATGATTCTGTTAAACTGTCTTAACTTAGACTTCAAAACTAGTTTTTCACAACATCTACCGTAATTAGACTGTTTTATTATAATAAAAAAAAAACAATACAATAAAAACATTTAAATCGTATGAAGACATTTTTTTTAGATGTGCCACATTGTAATAAATGTCACAGATCTAAAAAAAGAAGATATGACTTTTGGTTATTTTCACGTTATCTAGCTATGTCATTGATGAATATATAATTTATTGTTATCTATGCATATAGGCAAAGTTTATATGAATTGTGATAAAAGGCACTAAAGGGGCATTATAGATCTGACATAATCAACATATCACATGGACGAAAACAGAGAATTACAAATACTAATACATGTAATAAGTTTCATTATTTCCTCATTTTACATTAACATGTAGTGTAATTTTTTAACAAGTTTTGTGAACACGCACACTTCCTACTTTATCTCCACCAGAACAAAAGAAAAAGAACAAACACAGTTCCGAATAGAACAGTTCCGAAAAGACAATTATTTCAAGAATATTGACAACAAAACGATAAACACTAAGCTGGAAAAAAGTTTATATCAAATAATGATCAAACTGATAGGAGAGATTTCCTACTCTCTAAGTTTATATATAAACTAACGCTTTCTTATACGCGTTTTGAAAGGTTGAAGTACTCCATCTATTTAGATAAACTCCCGCTTTGTTAAACACGTTAAGATGGAGGGGGTATTCCAAAAGTTATATATTTTTTTCTATTATTATATGATACCGATAAACAATTTGATTTATATTTCAGCATCGAGAATAAATTATTGGCAGAGGTTTGTAATAAAGAATACATAAGGCTATTCTGCCTTGCCGATCATTTTCCTATCCTCCTAAACATAATTGATACGGACAAACAATTTGATTTATTTTCAGCATGGAGAGTAAATTATTGGCAGAGGTTTTGCAATAAACATACCATAAGGCTTTACTGCGATGACAACTATTTTCTGAAAATTCAAAATGCACAATATGGAAACATACCATGTCATCCGAGTAATGTAAGATACAACGGACTCCCATCGTGTCAAGCCGATCGTGGTCAGGTTCTGAAAAATACGAGAGAAAAGTGTGACTATAGGAAACAATGTACAGCCAAGGTGGATAATAAGCTGTTCGCTAAAGGATACATCTACCATCACAAATGTTCCTATCATGTTAAGTCAATAACATTCTATGCAGAATATGAGTGCAGTAAGTATTAATGTACATTAAAACCTGTTTTACGAGACCACTCAAAGGAGAACACAGAAGTGTTGTCATAAGACAAGTGGTATTTTAACATAAATGCATATTGTATTATTAACTGTATTAAATGGAATCCCAAGGTAAATTAAAAAAGAAGTAAGTCCATGAAACCTGACAAAATCAAAAGTTAGACTATATCAACTACCGTTACGAATGGAAAAGCTAAATATGTGTAACCTGTAATGGCATTTCCGAAAACCAATTATGATTTAAATCTGGTTCTGTAGCTTGCTTAACCTCCCACTTGTATGGAAGCTTTAATATAAATATATACTGTATACATGTTCTTTTCACCCGTTTGGATATTATGAAGAATTTAGAGGAAGATCATTTTTGAAAATATATACACGCAAATAAAAGTACTGCTTTTATAGATTAAAACCCATTCAAATTGACATCTTGTGGATTTATAATCGTACATGAATGTATACCCGACATTTCTTCGAATGAACTTGCAAACCGTTTAAGGTCGCAAGTGATTAGTACTTACTTAAAATATAATAATGAACGGTTGTAGGTCAAAAGATGCAAATAATGTATCAAGCCACGCAAATGTAAAAAGTGAAATATAAAAAATACCGAATTCCAAGAAATATTATAAACGGAATGTCCTTTATCAAATGGCAAAAGCAAAAGCTTATCAACATAATAGAATGCTATGCAACTTTCATACAAGTGAGAGGTGTAGCTAGCTATAAAACTAGGTTTAATCCATTATTTTCTACATAGGGATATTCCTATACCAATTCAGGAATTATGACAGTTGTTTTCCAATCGTTTGATGTGTTTGGGCTTTTGAATTTGACCCTTGATAAGGGACTTTCCGTTTTGAACTTTCCTTGGAATTCAGTATTTTAACATTTTACTTTTTCCTACCATTTCATTGTACTCGTGTTCCTTTTATTTTCTGAGATTTTTTTTTTTTAATTTTACAAAATACAAGAAATTTCATGTCATCAAAACAAGTCAACAACTGATATACAAAGTGAAAATATTGCATTAATTATAATCGGCCAATACATCTTATCGATGTCTGCTGTGATGATTGAATGGTTGCATTTATTTTGTTAATACAATTGTCTTACCTGACAGTTCTAGTAATCTGGCGTTTATAGGAATTTTCCGAGGTTTTCCCGATTGATTGATTAAAGCTACCCTAACGTTTAATGATGCATTCCTAGCAGGAGACACTTATTTTGTCGAAGCACCTGATCTCGTTCCTCTAAGAATTCATGCGATTCCCTCAGTTAAATTTGTCACCTTGATTTATCCACTTAATCGATTTCTAAGATTTGAACATCGATAAACTATTGTTTCCTAGATTTTAGTGTTTAAATAGGCAAATGAACATTTTAAGAAAATTTATATGCATTAGTTATATATTTACAACCACAGTTTTTGGTCAGTTTGACAGTCAGGTCCCGAATTTAATGCAAACGACAGAATGGACAACATTTACGCACTGGTAACACCCATCTCTTACTTTTGTTTTATCACTTCTTTCGGAAAATGCGCTATTGTATTGTCAAAAACCGTTATTGACATTGTTCGATGGATAGTTGTCACATTATAAAATATACCGCAATCTTCTTTTTTAGAAGGTTTTAACTCCCTATGGTAACATTTACCTGAACATATCTGGTTATTATACTCAAATAATTCAGGCTATTTTGATTTTCATGATATGGAACCGTATAGATGTACGGCTTTTGTATAAGTGCGTATGTGATGATAGTGATTCAACACACAAGCATTCTTCCCTGTAAATAACTTTTTTGTTATATAAACCGGATGGAACAAAACAAATAAAGCATTTTTTACAATACAAATATAAAATGGGATCCACTAGGGTAGGTTTTATCATAGATTGATAGATTAACAAATCTGTGAGATAAAATTTCGATCATATCTCAACTTCATTGAAAGTAACAATGGCCTAAGAGGGAGTCTTAGATATGCCAATGCCAATCTTATCAAAAGACTCAATAAACATTAATACCTAATAGTTCTTTCTACTACCGTTGATATTATTTTACTGTCGATACAGTAGTACATTAGACGCAACAATATGTTATCATTAATCGAACCTGAAAATATCACGAAGGACAATTTAATAAACTGTAAAGGTAAAACAAAATTGAGAGAATCGTATGAAGTAAAAAAGGTGTCATACCAGGTGCCTCGACGGAGTTTACGTATGTTGCAGCGTATGCATCACACGTCATATGAATCGTCACTCACTTTTAATGCAGTAATCCGAAATAGAACACAATTGGTAATTTAACAAATCAGACAACAACTCTACTATCAAAAGATCTAAGACCACTAGATTGTATCACCATTAAGTTGACACACAAACACACCGTATTAGTCAATTATTTTACGATGGTGACCATAACACGTATAGGGTGTCGATTTCAATCGTTCTTCCTCAAAATTCACGTAAAACTATAAATTCGCCCGTGTCCAGAATGGAGGCGAAAAATTGCTACAGAGACTATTGAAGACATGTCAAACAGGTTTCAATTGACTGTCTTAAGATGACAATGCATACATACAGTTAGAACGCTTAAATTAAGGGTTTTGAGTTCTGACAAATTCGTAAGGTGATTATTTTACATGATTTAAACAAACTATCCCTCTTCTCTATAATATTAAAACAGTTGATACATCTCTTGGATAGTACCACGAGTATGTTACTGCTAGAGGATTTATACATTTGAAAGGGCGAGAAAGTGTGACAATATAAAACATATTTTTTTAATCAAATTAAACAAGATAAAGTTTACATTTTGTACATAAATTATCAGTTCATCAAATTTTAAAAATAATCATGAAGATATAATTGTGATAATATTTTCATCTTCCGACATATTTAGAACTCATTTTCTCAGTTTTTATTCAATATACGTTTACCCCATCAATATGAGATACATCATAATTTGAAAAATATATCTAACGCAATAGAGGTCAAATTGAAAGCCCACACACGAACGGTGCCACTAGTTACGACGGAACAGCTGAAACCATCCCACCACGGAGCATGTGCATTTCTAATGAACTGTAGTTTGTCTTTTTTTGTCAAGGATGTTCGCTACTCCATGTAGTTTTAATAAAAAAAAATTGCCGGGTAAGCCCTTCTTGTCTTTTTATAATTTTATAACATATAATTGAAAAGCCATTAATGAAAATCTTATAAAATCCTTGTTATTTTGCACAACTTTTGAAAGAAAAAAAAGGTGCCAATGTTAAATGTAGGACAAGTCTAGATAGAATCATTTCCGGCAACTTTTCAATTGATTATATATCAAAAACAAGTACACGGACCTTTATTTTTTTTTTTTTTTGCTTTTTAAGTTCTGTTATTAATATACTATACATTTATAAAAAAAACCTGTCTTTTTAAATGTTTATCTAAGGAAAACAGAGAGGCAAACATCCTTAATCTGTTGTCTATCTTTATTCGATGTTTATCTTCTATTTAGTGTTTTTTTAATTAGCTTTTAGCTCAGATTGTTGATACAGCATATTAGGAAATTGTTCAGAAGCTAAAGCTCCGACTTCCTAGGGCGCGGTTGACATTAAATGGATTTTGCTATTCTTTGTAAGACACTGTTAGTAATTAAACCTCTCAAGTATGCCAAAAGCAATACATCCCTAGGCACCTCCAACATATCAAGTATCATTTTCATTCGACATTGTTTATTTTGATGTAGTTTAAAATTATCAGAATATTTGTTCAGATTATTCATTGCTCAAATTAATTCAAGGACATATTTGCTTCATATACATTTTTATATTGGAACGTCAAAGTTATGACAATATATGTAGGTTGGTTTGGAATTTATATTTTGCCATTCTGCTGTGATCACGATCTTTTTTATTCATTACTCGTAACTTACAAAATAGATAAATTATAAAATGTAATGTCAGAAAATGCTCTCTATTATCACAGGGCCTTCGATAACTTTGTGCCAAGCTTTTTGTAAGTGTCGACATGCATCTTCAAGATCACGTTCCGGATACGGAAAAAACAGTGCTGCATATTGTAAAAGTAAGTGTTTAGTATTGATAATACAATTAAAACATGTTTTCAATGGAACGTGGATTTGCAGTAATGAACAATTTATTATGTATTTATAACTTTCTAGTTCATTTAGTAAATATCAACACATTTTCTTTTTTTTTTTTTGCATTCAAGAGGGTCTGGGTTGGGTTTACAGAATAGGCAATAATTGGCCAATACTACAGAAAAAACGGGTTAAAAAAAAAAGAATAGAGAAAAATCGGCCCAACAAATCAGGAATAGAGAATAATGGGGTGCTTAACTATAAAGAATAGAGAAAAATCGACCAAATTTATAAAGAGTAGAGAAAAATAGGCCCAACAAATCAAGAATAGAGAATAATTGGGTGATAAACTATTAAGAATAGAGAAAAATCGGCCAAATTTATAAAGAGTAGAGAAAATTCGTCCCAACAAATTAGGAATAGAGAATTATTGGGTGCTAAACTATTAAGAATAGAGAAAAATCAGCCAGATTTATAAAGAATAAAGAAAAATCGGCCTAATTTATAAAGAATAATGAAAAATGGTTTAAACAATTACAGAATACAGAATTGAAGGAACACCTATCCAGACTCTCATACAAAGTCACACTGACACTGACAATGTATTATTTTCAAATTTTGATTGATTGATTGTTGTCTGTTTAACCTCTTGTTGCCAATATTTCATACAAATTCAGGAAGAATCTAAGTTTTGATGAAGAAATGCAAATTTACTCGTTATGAGGTCAGTTGATCCTAATAGTATTATTTTATTGTAACAAAATACAAAAGTATGTGGTACAAGTAACTACATTTTTACAACTTATACAGTGTTTACAATGCAATCTCTCCTCCCCATAAACAAATATATCTCGTTAGACGTTAAACATATCTATTTTTTAAAAACTCAAATATGTATAAAAACAAAGAGGAAAGTATCAGTGGAACATTGTATGTATTTATTCGTGACCGAATGTTCTGATCAATACAAAATCGGTTTGAAAATATGTCAAATAACTCGATTTTATTTGTATTTCCATAATTATAATTTTTTAAAAGCTTATTAATACTTAATCATTTTTTTCTAATGTTAATGTTCACACATTGTTGTCAATATAATGGAATTTTCCGCGACTGTCATATAAGTGAGAGGTTTAGCTAGCTTTAAAACCAGGTTTAATCTACCATTTTCTACCTAAGGAAATGACTGTACCAAGACAGGAATATGGCAGTTGTTTCCCATTCGGTTGATGTGTAAGAGCTTTTGATTTTGCCAAATTTTAAGTAACTTTCCGTTTAGAATTTTCCCTGGAGTTCGGTATTTTTGTTGTTTTACTTTTTATATCTATCTATATATTTTTTCAGAGAAATACAAGAATTACCTACATTATTAAAACGCCAAGAGTAACTTTGATCTATAGTATAAAATAAAACTGTCAAATTGTTTGATAAATGTTAACGTCTATTTTATGCACTCAACCAGTTCTAAGACATTTAGTTTGCTAAGTTTCTATTGAGAAGCACTCGTGGCAGACTTGAGAGCGTCGGCGAATCAGAATGCCCACACAATCTCAGTAACCTACTAAAGCGTTGATTGGTGAAATCCATTTGTAAAGGTTGATGTAAGCAAACAGACTTGATCTTTTTGTACTGAAATTATTGAATGGTGCATTCTGACCACAATTTACTAAACAAGTCTTATATTGGAAAACGTACAACTCCCTCAAGTAAATCTGTCAATGTATTTACACAAAAAAAAGAAGATACGGTATGATTGCCAATGAAAAATTTCCATCAGAAATAAGATGACGTAGAAGTTTACAACTATAGGTTACATTATGGCCTTCAGCAATAAGCAAAACCAATACCGTATAGTAAGCTATAGAATGCCTAGAAATGAAAAATGTCAAACAATTCAAATAAGAAAACAAACAATATTATAAAAGCTTCCAATGTCACTTAGAACTGAACTCGCTTGTTCTTATCTTATTCTGTTACGCTACTGTTCCAGGTAAGTGAGTAATTGGAGCGTTCACAAAATGGCACATCCCTTCATATTGCCCCAAGTCATGATGCTAAGAATCAGAGTTTGTCCTTTGTTGCTGTCTGGCATACTCGTTTTTCCTTTTTTTGGGGTCATAAATCAGGTCGTTGGTTTTCTCGTTTTACATTTTGTGATGTAGGACTTGTTATAGATGAATATACAAGAGGGACGAAAGATACCAGAGGGACAGTCAAACTCATAGATCGAAAACAAACTGACAACGCCATGGCCAAAAATAAAATGACAAACAGACAAACAATAGTACAGACGACACAAAATAGAAAACTAAAGACTAAGCAACACGAACCCCGCCAAATACTGGGGGTGATCTCAGGTGCTCCGGAAGGGTAAGCAGATCCTGCTCCACATGTGGCATCCATCGTGTTGCTTATGTTATTACAAATCCGGTAAATAGTCTAATTCGGTAAGTCACATTCGTGAAAAGGGAAGGGTATTGTAGTTAGGAACATATCCGATATCATCTGTGAAACGGTTAATCTATAACGGTCAACCAACTCGTGATATATATACGGTATGAAGTTTGACTTATATTTGCTTACATCCACATCATTTGGCCACTGGTGTATTGTTGTCTTTTTGTCTATCATACCATAATGATGAACAAACAAACACATGCATTACAAATAGCCATCGACTCAGTCAAAATTCCGTGACAAGGGGAATGCTCACAAATGTATACTCTGTTTTGAATATCGAACTAAATGAATAGTTAGTAGTAATTGTCAGTATTATAGGCTTCAAATTTAAGTAAACGAAAATCAATAATCAAATGCCTTAGAACGATTGTATATGTTGTAGTTTTTAGTCCTTTGCAACTCTTTGTCAATCTTTTAATACCGTTAAAACCGCTGTACGACAACCAAAACCGAAACTATAGTCTCTAGTGTATAATTGTCTGTCTCAATTATACAACATTTCCTTTTGTATACTAAATGCTCAAAACAGATGATGTTAATGTTTTGGAGTTCATGCAAATAATTAGGTTTGTGTTTATAATCTTAATTTACAGACCGAAGGATTACTGTGAAAATAGATTTTAATGTAGAAAACAAAGTGTTATTATTGAATAAGACATTTTGACAGAAATGGATTTGTATGGCGGAAGATTAATGCATAACTTCACGAGACCTGTTGGAAATGTTTTTGATTATGATGTGTTTTTGCACAGCAGTATCAGGCCATCATATTGACTGGCATTCTGTTGGATCACATTTTCAGCATGCGTTCTATATTTTGTACCATTATGATTTGTGTTTTAGTTATGTGCTCACCCTGTTTATGGCTGCAGTATACGTTTTTTGAGTGTTTGTCTGTATGTACCAGAAACAAGAGAATATGGTTCATTAAATTATAACATCAAATAGGACGCGCAAAGTAAAACACCAAAAGCAAAATACATTTAGTGTTATCTTTTTTAACGATATATGGCCTAGATAGGGAATAAACTCACCATACCATTTAATACTTCAGATACGCTTTCGTTTACAAAACATTCAACAGTGACGCTCGAATAAAAAAAGTTCAAAATGTCATGTAGGACTTGTTATAGATGAATATACAAGAGGGACGAAAGATACCAGAGGGACAGTCAAACTCATAGATCGAAAACAAACTGACAACGCCATGGCCAAAAATAAAATGACAAACAGACAAACAATAGTACAGACGACACAAAATAGAAAACTAAAGACTAAGCAACACGAACCCCACCAAAAACTGGGGGTGATCTCAGGTGCTCCGGAAGGGTAAGCAGATCCTGCTCCACATGTGGCACCCATCGTGTTGCTTATGTTATTACAAATCCGGTAAATAGTCTAATTCGGTAAGTCACATTCGTGAAAAGGGAAGGGTATTGTAGTTAGGAACATATCCGATATCATCTGTGAAACGGTTAATCTATAACGGTCAACCAACTCGTGATATATATACGGTATGAAGTTTGACTTATATTTGCTTAAATCCACATCATTTGGCCACTGGTGTATTGTTGTCTTTTTGTCTATCATACCATAATGATGAACAAACAAACACATGCATTACAAATAGCCATCGACTCAGTCAAAATTCCGTGACAAGGGGAATGCTCACAAATGTATACTCTGTTTTGAATATCGAACTAAATGAATAGTTAGTAGTAATTGTCAGTATTATAGGCTTCAAATTTAAGTAAACGAAAATCAATAATCAAATGCCTTAGAACGATTGTATATGTTGTAGTTTTTAGTCCTTTGCAACTCTTTGTCAATCTTTTAATACCGTTAAAACCGCTGTACGACAACCAAAACCGAAACTATAGTCTCTAGTGTATAATTGTCTGTCTCAATTATACAACATTTCCTTTTGTATACTAAATGCTCAAAACAGATGATGTTAATGTTTTGGAGTTCATGCAAATAATTAGGTTTGTGTTTATAATCTTAATTTACAGACCGAAGGATTACTGTGAACATAGATTTTAATGTAGAAAACAAAGTGTTATTATTGAATAAGACATTTTGACAGAAATGGATTTGTATGGCGGAAGATTAATGCATAACTTCACGAGACCTGTTGGAAATGTTTTTGATTATGATGTGTTTTTGCACAGCAGTATCAGGCCATCATATTGACTGGCATTCTGTTGGATCACATTTTCAGCATGCGTTCTATATTTTGTACCATTATGATTTGTGTTTTAGTTATGTGCTCACCCTGTTTATGGCTGCAGTATACGTTTTTTTGTGTGTTTGTCTGTGTGTACCAGAAACAAGAGAATATGGTTCATTAAATTATAACATCAAATAGGACGCGCAAAGTAAAACACCAAAAGCAAAATACATTTAGTGTTATCTTTTGTAACGATATATGGCCTAGATAGGGAATAAACTCACCATACCATTTAATACTTCAGATACGCTTTCGTCTATAAAACATTCAACAGTGACGCTCGAATGAAAAAAGTTCAAAATGTCAAATAAAGTACGAAGTTGAAGAGCATTGACGACCCAATATTTCAAAAAGGTTTGGCCAAATACAGCTATATTAATTTATTCTTTGGGGAGAAAATCCTCAGTTTTTCGTAAAAATTCTAGTTACGTAAATAGTTGATTTATAAATATGACCAGATCAATGATTATTCATGTCAAAACAGATGTACTATTCAAAAAAAGGAGTTTTTCTTTTTATCTTAATGACGGATTGGCTCCACCACGCTAAATGCCGATATAGGCTGTCTGGACAATGCGTTATTTGTATTTGTATTTGTGTGTGCTCTGGTTTTCTTGGAATAGTTTGTAGTTGATTGTCAAAATGGTCTATCCTGTAAAGCAGGAACTGCTTACCTTTCCGAAGCACCTAAGATCACCCCCAGTTTTCGTAGCGGTTCGTGTTGTTCAGTCGTTAGTTTTCTATGTTGTGTTTTGTGTACTTTGCTTGTTTCTTTTTCTTTTTTAGCCATGGTGTTGTCAGTTTGTTTTCTACTTATAAGTTTGAATGTCTTTTTGATATCTTTCGCCTCTTTTCGTAGTCTTAGTAAAGATAAATTTTAGATTAAATTACCAAAGAAGTACGTTTTTATTAACTGAAACACAGTGGACAAAACATAGTTCATCAAATTTGAGATACAGTTGTATTAAAAAATTAAGGTACTTATACAGTTCCATAGTACGGAAGTACTACATTTTAGATTAGTTTACACCCTCAATATTTTAAAGTTATTCTTCTCAAAAAGATTTATATGCAACGAAGTTTTACATATGCCTACTGGTATCCTTTTTATTTACTTTGATTTTTTATAACTCAACCAATTTTTAATTTTCAATTTCAACAAAATATTTCAACGAAAATTTTCAATTTGATAAAATTTATTAAATATTTTGAAGATATTTTCAGAACTCATTAAGATAGATTAACTGTATACCACCATCATCTTTGATTGTTAAAACAAGTACACAATCAGTCTATCTATTTGATTAAATTTGCGAATTTTGAGAAATAATGGCAATTTATTTGGAATACTTTTTTATTAAAACCGTTTTTACATTTACCAAATATTTTTTTGTATGTTTTTATTTTTCAACAAAGCCATATCAGGGAGATAACTCTTATAGTAAAAATTTTAAAAAAAAATTATAAAGGAGTTTTAAGCAAATTTTCATTTTTTACAATTTCGGTGACACGATTTTTATTTTTATTTTTGAAAATATTATCATCAAACCTATCTTCTCATATTTTATTTCAAAATTCTGTCTGATAGATTTCTTTCTATTCATTAATTATTTTTTTCGTAAATAATCTATAGTCTAAACATATTTTATATATGTAAGACTCAAATCGACGTCCGGTCTCTAATCGACGTCCTTGATTAGTTTCTATCAAGAAAAAAATCAATATACATGTATATGTTATAAGATCGGTGGTTCTTGTCATTTTTCGATGTTAGTCCTTTTATTTTGTTTTAGTTGATTCTTTGGGAAAAGATGTAACTGACTGTGTTGTTCCTTCTCATACGTCTACTCAGGTAGTACGATTTGTAATGTATAAAGACAATCGGTTACAGCTTTACATAAAGACAATACGATATAGATGCTATAAATAGAGATCAATCTAATAACAATAATGCTGCGTCGGATAGAAATCGACCTCATGCAAATGAAAATCAATCTGTTACCTATTTCGGATTGAAAAAATCTCTATAGAAAGTCTGTAACTGTTTGAAAATTGGGATGTTATAAAAAACAAACAGACTAAAATTCATATTTTATTTCGTATTTGAATGTTCCTAAATCTATCAAAGTCTTATACATGTATACGTGAAGTAACTAATTATTTATTGATATGGGACATCGATTAGAGAAACTACAATCAATCAAACGTCGTTTTTGCAATACATGACATCACATGGACGTCGAATGGAGGGAAACTGATTTGAGCATGTGACGTCAAATGTGGACGTCGATTTGAGGAACGGACGTCGATTTGAGACCGGACATCGATCTGAGTCTAACATATATACATTAATAACTTTTATATTTAATCATATTAAGAAAATGCATCTTAAGAGGATCATCCCAAGCTTTGACGGCAGAAACACTTAAATAGTGTCAGGTCCTATCAGGCAATATGTGATAAGTGGTTTCATCGGTGTTATATAATAGACAAACTTAATTTGCAATCATGACGAAATGGTTGTGTCACAAATAGCCACAATTGTGTTTCAATTTTTCATATACCAATTCTCGTCCTTCGATTAACCTTCAATCATCCGTCCTGTTTCTTCTGACGGTTATTAACGTATTCATCTTTGTTGATACCCCCGTATAAGGAAGACGATCTTTAAGCTGCAAATTTCTAGGTATAATAAAGAAGATGTGGTATGATTGCCGATAAGCCAACTAATCACCAGAGACCAGATGACATAGAACTTTACGACAATAGGTCATCGAACGGCCTTCAACAATGAGCAAAATCCCTTTTGCATAGTCATCTATCAAAGGCCCTGAAATGACCAACGGGAAAACTAATTGCCTGATTTATGTACAAAACAGTGAACGAAAAACAAATATGATATACAGCAAACTCCAACCATTGAATTACAGGCTCCTGACTTTAGACAGTCCAATACAGAATGTGGCGGGGTAAAACATGTTTTCCCTATAGGTAAGGTGTATCTGTAGGGTAATAATTACAGGTAAACATTTACTTTTTATTTAATATAAAAAAAGATAAGTCTCTATCGTCAGATGTTCACTAAATATATCATTTTTCCCTAACAAGTGTGAAATATTATTTGACCTCAATAGAAATAAGAAGATGTGGTATGAGTGCCAATGAGACAACTCTCCATCCAAGTCACAATGTGTAAAAAGTAAACAATTACAGGTCAATGCCAGTATTTTTTATTGTCAAATACCTCGTGTGTTTGTGAAATTTATGGATTTTCCCTGTTACAACTCATGTTTGCACATTACATTATATTTACTAAAGGTTTAGTTTCTGTTACACTATGACTTGATTCAGGAAGGAAAAAGAATAAAAATAAGAAATAAACTTTAAATTTATTGTTGAATATATATACTCTCAAAGTCTTTGTTAGTAGTTGTTGTATACATGCAATATGTCTATCATCTTTAGATTCCGTAACCAACTCGAGCTGAAATATATGATGAAATTGGATATATATTTAGTATTCAAATATAAATAGGTATAGCAATTTATTAATTGTGCGGGTTTGAAGCGCTTTTCTTGATTACCATCTGGAACGTTAAAATCAAAAGTTGAAAGTCAGGATGTATAACTACTTGAAGAGCTGTTTGATCCCATAATGGACATTAAAAGGATAACCATCGCCATCTATAGTCAACTTTACTGACAGAGTTAACACTTAATTTTTTTTCTCAACTATTTAGAAATCTCTTAAACGGATAATTGGGGCTTCGGTGAACGAGTGGTCTAAGTAGTCAAACTATTGTGTCACTATCCTGTCAACACTGAGGCTTTTCAATCGAATCCCGCACGTGGCAGGTGCGCTGGTATTCAAACTTATTTGACTAGGATTGTCAATTTCCTACCGAAGGTCGGTGTCTTTTTGGACACTCTGGCTTCCTCCACCAACAAAAACTGACGACACGAAAAAGCACGAAAGTGTCGGAAGTGGCGTAAACACCAATCAATCAATCCAATCAGCGGAAAATTTGAGAACTATATGAACCACTGAATACTACGGTTATGATATCTTCGGGGACTAATAACATACCAGAAAAGGCAGCACATATTACTTGTTATAAAAAAATGCGCTTTATCAGGAATGCTCATACCAAAAATTTAAAAGCCTAAAACGAATATGTTAGGCTATATTACTTGTTATTTGCAGGGTGATATGTGCTTTGCATACGCGTCGTAAATGGGAAAAGAAATATGTTCTACATACCGCGTGCAAAAATATATAATGTTTTAGTTATGTCTCTCTTTTTGTACCTTTATTTAAGTCATGTGTCTCCTCGTTAATTCAATATGTATTACAAAATGTATCAATATCATTTGTTTACAGTTTAATTTCGTATTTTATAATGTGTGTTTTACTTCTGCTAGATATGGAATCACATTTGTTTCTTACCAATAACTCATCTTTGAATAATGCAAACAACAGAAATGTATAATAAACACCGTTATAGCTGTGAAACCATGTGCTTTTTAAAATAGTAAGTGATTCCCGTTCCACTCTTCAAAAGAATAAACTTAGTGTATAGGCTTACGTGGTTTGTTGCATTGACAAATCTCACATCCATCAGCTCCAACTTTGAATCCATGATCACAGAACATTCTACACCTCACATCGGGACAATGGGCTGAAATATCAAAGCAGAACGTCCGAGTTTCATATCGTTTGTCTATAATTTACCTTTTGTATGTTATTCATGTTATTTACTTTGATAAGCTTACCAACAAAAGTACAACAGAATGAGATTTTGTTGGAATGTTTTAAAGTATATATCAATATACAATAAGACACATGGTATGTATCTGTTTCTGGTAAAAGTTAAAAGAAAGATTTCAGGTTTGAATCAAAAGAACCATCACTATTGTTGGAAATCAATTCTTGTACAATATGAGCAGTATATAAGTTGTGAGTTTTATAACTTCTAATTAATGTAATCAAGGAAACGTTAAACAAGTTATTATAAAAAAGATCAATGCAACACAAACCCAAACAAAAAATCAGGTGTGATATCAGGCGTTACTGATTAACCGCGCACTGAAGAACGTATGTTATTATCACAAAACGCTGCACTGACTAAATATACAGTATTCCTGAATGTTTTTCTCAATCACTTATTACAAAAATACTAGGCATGAAAGCTGCGCATATAAACTTCAATTGAAACGCTCTGCAACATAAAATGTTTCATGAGAAATCAACCATTTCACAAATATTTGCAATTTTCTGAACTTTTAATCAAAGCCCACATACCTAAACAAATTATAAAAAAATGACCTACGTCCTACCCACTCCAAAATAAAAATTAGAAAAAAACTGAATGTTATTTTGACAATTTTTTAAGTTTGAATAACCAAGCATCATATGTTGTTGAAAGTGTTGATTTCAATGAGTCAAAATAATTGTACAAACATTTGGAAATTGAGAAAAAAATAGACTTACGTGGCTGGTTGCATTTACAAATTTCACATCCATCAGCTCCAACTTTAATTCCATGTTCACAGTACATAGCACACATAACATCTGAGCAGTGAGCTAAAAAATTATAAAACAAAAGTTATGGATTATTAAGCTTAAACGTAAATTTCCCTTGAATAAAATTTAAAAAAATGAATAAAGTAAAGATCAGAGATTTGTTTACATATCTTCAACTCTTAAACTTTCTTTTGAGTAAAGTGAAAATTAAAATGGATACAGCAAATATTAGGATTTTTACATAAGTTCAAATGAACAATATCGGAATGGAGGCTGCATGTGTAAAGTTCAATTGAAGCTTTGCACATAAAATTTTTCATTGGAAATGACCAATCCCTAAATATTTGCATTTTTCTGAAATTGTATAAACCTTTAATCAAAGCCCACACACTCAAACAAATTATAATAAAATGGCATGCGTCCTACCCACTTCCAAAAAAAAATAACAAAATTTAAGTTTAGTTGTTTTTGAAATGTTAAACTAATTGTGCAAACATTTGGAATACAGTTGGATTCAGTTATCAAATAGACTTACGAGGCTGGTTGCATTTACAAATTTCACATTCATCAGCTCCAACTTTAAACCCGTGTTCACAGTACATATTACACATAACAGCTGAACAGTGAGCTGAAAAATAATTCATCATAGAACATTGATGTTTATTTAAGTTAAGACCAGTTAAGTTTTAATATTTCATAGAATTAAGAGACAAAGAAATAATATTGAACGGATGAAATTTTCGGCAGCAGAAAATAACCAAAATATTAATTGAACAGCTCTGTTTGTTGCTGTTCATTATATTGACTGTTGCCGGTTGTTCTTAAATAATCAACCCTCGACCCTGAACAGTGTAGGATGATATTAACCCATAGCATACATCTGAACAGTGCATATGTTAAACCTTGCAATAAAATCTTTAGGAATCTATGTTTAAGGATGTTCGCTACTATGTTTCAAAATAACAAGCTTTTAAAAAGACTATTATATATTGATAGTATGAAAATAAAGAAACGAAAAAGCAAATAAAAAAAATATGGGTCAGTGTGCTCGTTTTCGAGATATAAGCCATTGAAAAGTTGGCGGGAAATAATTCTCTCTAGACTTTTCATATATTTAACATTGACACCTTTTTTCAAAGAAGATATTTTAAACTATGTTTAATCAAATAATGGAAAGAAAAGTAGGGGTTAATGGGGAAATTTTGTTAATGGCACTAGATGGATAAAACCAGAGGATTCCGAATATCTGGCAAAAATTCAAAAACATGAGGAGCGAACTTCCTTAAGTATTATCCGCTTCCATTATTTCACGAAGATTATATCTGTTGTTTCTTGCAAGGTGTCTTTATGAAGTCAAGGAGGCCGGAATTTAAGGCTATTGCAGACACCCGGCTACGTATCAACGTATTATCATTGGGTTTAGGGATGCCTGAATCACTCAGATCGAAAATTGATTTTGAATGTTTTGAAGATTTATTGTACAGTTATGAAAGAGTTCTCTTTTTACAGCTAATATAAGCAGAAATAAATACGTCAATGTTTCGACACCCATAACCCTTACATTACCAAAATTACATTAAAAATAGGTGCACAACTGTATGTGCGGTAAAAGATCGGCTGAATTTTGTCATTTCCAAGAAGTTGCCGATCAAGAAAGATTGACATGGACTTGGACATGGACGCATATTTACCTATTTTTCGCCAAAAAAACTTTGAAAATACCAAAAACATACAAAACAATTAATTCAAGGAAACGATTTATTGTTAAAATTTCAACAAATGTGTTGCCCTTGACATGAAGACTAAAAGTTGAATATGAAAATAAAGTCACAAAAATGAGCTATATTGAACCTAAATGTATTAAAATTTGACATCTTTTGGAACAAGCACAATCCTCAGAATAGCAATTTTTTACCTCTTTGTCACTCCATTCTACTTTTACAAAGATCTGACATCGCTCCGTTCTTTTTTCTGTTTTAAAGACTTATCCACTGATTTTGTTCTAATGAAACTCTTACAAATTGATAGGCAGAAATTGTATCTGCATATGTCAGAAACCTGAGGCTTGGGCACAATATCTTTATTCTAATCAGTTTGAAAGTTACTGTGGATTTGTTTTCAATTTTAAATTATGTTTAAGTTATCAATGCAAAGCAGACTGATCAAATAATTGACCATTCATTGGGTGGGGAGTTACGACGATTAATTTATCACGCGATTTTTTCAGTAGTTTTACATGTTGTATGATCATCAACAATCCGATTAAAATACGGATCCGCTGTCTTCGCTTTGCTTACAAGGATCTAACAATACACTGTTCAATTTTCTTTTTTGGTAATTATCACATCAGCCAATGAAATTTTAGCCTATATATTTTTAAGGTGTGTTTTATTCCGACAAAACCAGAGGACCCCGAAAAGTCTATAAAACAAAAAGCATAAATGCGTGTTTGATACAGAATCCATATTTTAAGGATGTTCACTCCTCTTGTTTTTGAATTTTTGCCAGATATTCGGAATCCTCTGGTGTTATCCATTTAGAGCCATTACAAAATTTGCCCACTAACCCCTACTTTTCTTTCCATAATTTTATTACATATAGTTTAAAATGTCATCTTTGAAAATCTTATAAAATCCTTGTTATTTTTTCATCGTTTTTGAAAGAAAAAAGGTGTCATAGTTAAATGTATGAAAAATCAAGAGAGAAGTATTTACCGCCATATTTTCAATGGCTTATATCTCGAAAACAAGCACACGGACCCTTCATTTTTTTCTGCTTTTTTAGTTCCTTTATTTATTTACTATCAATTTATAACAGTCTTTTAAAAAGATTGTTATTTTGAAACAGAGTAGCGAACATCCTTAATCAGATTGGATCACCTTACTTAAAATAATTTACTATTGTGTGTTTGGTGTTCACTTACGAGGTTGTTTACATTCACAAATAGCACATCCATCTTGGTCGACATAGTTACCGTATTTACAGTACTTCATGCATAGAGGTTTATTGCTGCATTTGTCTGGAAAATAAAGTTCTTGAAATAAACATTTCTCTTTATATATTTGGTGCGTCCGAATAAAGGCGGACGATTCCAAAGCGATATTTAAACTGAAAAACTGACAATGCTATGCTAAAAATCGTCAAAAGACCAAAATATACAAAACATAATATGAGGCTTTTCTAAATTTACTTTGAGTAGATATTTAAGAGAATCCAAACATTTGAACGCGAAGAATGTTTTAGTTCTTAAACATGTTTAGAGCTACTTGACCAACAGGGTCATACAAGTTACTAGTTGTCTTAAAAACTGAAATTTTACAATAACATGTGTAATAACAGAGTGTTATCTAACATGCGCTGAGGAACAGAGAGCATCACATAACAAAAAATACACATAGCTAGGGTCTGATATGACATCAGAAAGGATGAATTTACATTTAATACTTCGTTGGATTAATATTCTAATTTTAAATGCTTATGTCATTTCGAAACGAAAGATATATTGAAAAAAAAAACGAAATTTAATAACCACTCATTTAATAAGCTTCAAGAAAAATCGGTGTTTATTTGAAGATATACATTGAAAATTCAGGGATTTGAATAATAATGTCTACAGTAACTATAATTTGAAATGATAGATTCCTTATACGTATTACTTTACTTACAATTTGGTGGTGATCGAGCCTAAAAAGGAAAAAGAAGACATTAAAAAAAATAAAACTTCCAGTTATTATATTCTCTTTCTGATAAACTAGTTGAATGCATAGTTAGCAAACTATTTGTTAACCGACAATGTGCATATGCTCCGGTTTATATCAAAATTACAATGTACATCGTTTGAATAAGTCTAGATGAGGGACGCAGAACATTCCAACTGGCTTGTTGAATTGCTAAATTGTCCAAGGACTGAAGAAAATATCAAAAAATGGAAAACTCACAAACACTGTTTTGTCAAACGTATTTGCCAATCAACATTTTGATTATATAAAAAAATTCAAGATCTAATTGAATAATCTGATTAACAGAAATATCGAAGTTAATTAAATGGAGAAAAAAAAAAAACAACAGAAAGAAACAAATTAAAAAAAAAGTAACTAAAAAGGAAAAAAAAAACATATCATCACCATCATCAACATCTCATACCTAACTTAATTATGCTGTTAATAATAAAACCAATTATGATGATAATAATAATAACAATAATAATATTAATAATAATAAATATAATAAATGATAATGATAATAATAATGAAAGTAAAAATTATAATCATAATAAAATAATAATCAAGCTATATATGAAAAACTACTTACTTGAATAGCGATAACGGAAACGACGAGGAGAAGAATATATCGAAACATAGTTCCAGTTCAGTAATACGGATTAACACAACACAGTTTATATACTTTTGTAGTAAATGAAGCAGATGTTATTTAATTAAAATATTATAAATTCTGGCCTTAAGCTTGATTTAAATTTTTCTGTACAATGTATCAGGTTGCATTACTTCTTTGTCATTTTTATGAGATATTTTGTAGCCGAGGGCTAGAGTTCTTCATACATGCAAATTTTACCAGACTGAATCCACAATGACCTTCAGACAGATCCCATTATGTACAAAATTTCAAACTAAAAAAACAATAACTGTAAAAACAAATTCTAATTGTATTAATGTAAGTGCTCATTATCCATTTTTTTTTAGGTGTCACCAGATATATTTCATAAAAATGTATAGAATAATTCCAGAATTCATTGTTCCATGTTTGGTAGATGAACTATTGTAGTGACTTGTCCTCTGGTTTATGTATGTTGAATGTATATATATAAATATAGATGTAGGACTCGGAGATGCGATTGTAACGTCGAAGTGCGATGGTCAGTTTGCTGATATGCCATGGTCTTACTTTATATTACACGGGATGGCCAGTTTAAAATCTACAGATTTTCGATTATTATGGGAAAGGGATTTTTGTTATAGTTACATGTACTATATAAAATTTGAATTCGTTATTGTCTATGTATGTTCTCAGTTACAGTTGCAATCAATGTACATGATGAACGACCGCCCTCTATGATTTTCTGCTTGTAAAATCAATTCTGTATTTTTAATTGGTTCCTCTCATGAGTTCCTCGTTTACCGTAATATCATTATTAGAAGAGTCTGTTTGTGGACCTATATATTTGTAGAGAATGCCACGTTCTATCTAACATAAACAAGAACTTTCTGCAGATTTCGAAAAAACAAATCCGCTACATAAGGTAAACTGCCCCTTTTTACGAAACATTCCCTGTTTCCCGTAATAGTTTATGACCCCCTTATAGACTTAAAAACTCTAAACATTACTTCTAACAAACCATTTGACTTTTACATCGACGTGAAAAGTATTGAAAATATAGTTTATAGAATCGATCGGACCTCAGTGTCACCATCATTCGTACTTCGGGTAGCGTTATACAAAACAGCGTCACAATGCCACCATCGCACATCAGCATGATCAAAAACGCACTTCAGTGAGACTATCATGACAAATAGTCATAACATTTCGTACTATAACTGATAAGGCTTCAATAAAATAATCCCGTTTAGAAATTGACCACTTTAGGGGCTATATGCAAAGTTTATTGTCCATTCATACTAATACTAATTTTAAATACCAAAAAACTAGGAAGCTATTTGAAATTCAAGTAGAACATGCGTGGTCACAACGACAAAAAATTGCAACAAATATTTCGGCTTTTATGAATGAGAGCACAGACTAAGAAAGATCATCGAATATTTTTAGCAAGTGAAGGAAATATGGAAGTGTTTGTTGGGACACAATGTCTAACCTTTAATACAATGTACAGTATAATAAATTCACAAAAAAGGTCTGAAAGGTTTAGTCGCCATAAATTGACGCATAAAGGTGTAATACCACCATTGTTTTCCCCCTACTAGTCTTTGTTAAGTTTGCAGTTTTCAAAAAATTGTGCAGAATTTATCATTGTTTCAAACGAAGAAATACTTGAAATAAGTTACGTTTTTTATTTGCATAAGATAACAACCATCATTGGAAGTTAACCAATCAAATGTTCACCCCTTTTTTCCTGTGGTCAAGCTTCAGTTACCATGTAATCTCAAGTTTCCAAAATATTCCATAGAAACACAAAATAAAAAAAAGAATGGTGCTTTGAAACGCCCAAGATATATGTTTTTGACTCATAGATTTTTTACTGCAGTAAAATGTAGGATTACGTTTACAACTGTCAAATTCAAAGAAATATTTTTTCCGACCATTTTCGTCTGCAACCGGATGTGACGTACTATGATTTGGTGATTTTACTCTTAAAGGAATTTTGAAAAGTTAGTAAAATAAATTTCCAATTTTTTGTGGAAATAAGGTATCGGAATCTCATGAAGTTAGTATGAAAAATGTATGGCACAGGGTCAATAAAATGTACGTCATATGTCATGTATGTCAAATAAATGGTAGGTTTGTGATATTGAAATAAAAATGTACCCGGTAGGGCAAATTAGACATACTGTATACTGTAGCTCTTTAACGGTTGGACAACTTCATCAAGTGTTTCATAAGTATAACACTATTCCAGTCATACCACTACGTAAACATCCATCTATTCGTAGTCAAATGTCTTACTCGTTAGAATATGCATAATAAATGACAGAAATAGATCAGTTTATAGTTCGCATCGGTTGTAAAGTAAAATAATCAAGTAATTTATTATACTTTTTTTCATATTTAATGTGTGTGGCTGTATGTAATGCGTATTTTAAAGATTTACACAACATTCTACTCTTTACACCTGTTACATGTTATCTGCAGGAAATATTTCTAAAGTTGTTGTTATATTTCAATCATATCATATGTAAAATAATTCATGAGCCTAAAACTAAACTGTTAACATAGACCACAATTACATTTTAAAAAGATTATTGCAAACAAATTACCGCATTAGTCTTTTTTTTTTCTCTCATCTAAACAAATAGGGTGGAATTACAACGGGGGTAACCAAAAACATAAGTCAGGATTGTCTTTCTAGTGATTGATTGTTGGTGTTTTGTGCCAGTTTCACCATTGTTGGCTATTTGGCAGGTTTTATAGGTGGAGAAAACCATGGTGCCGGAGAACGACATCAGCCATTGGAACAAAAACTAACAATCCTCGTCAAGTGTTTTTATAAAAAAAAGATGTGGTATGATTACTAATGAGACAACTCTCCACAAGACATCAAATGACACAGAAGTTAACAACTATAGTACACAGTACAGCCTTCAACAATGAACAAAGTCCATACCGCATAGTCAGCTTTAAAAGGCCCCGAAATGACAAATTAAAACTGGTTGCAAATCGTCATTTGATTGTTTCATATTCTGCTCTGAATCCCACCTTGTATTCCGATTCGAAATTCGCAGATCTACCCAAATCCCCTTGGTCAGTTAATGAAAAATTTGTAGACGTGGGTAGGTTAGAATCTAGACACGATTGCCACAGTGCATTATTTCTCAGAAGAAGATAAAAAGACCTCGTCATCGCATAACTAAAAATGATGAAAAAAAGTACAATAGTCTACAAGCCACAACATAGAAACTAGATACTAAGCAAAAGTAACCAAAGCAAAAACATGAGGTGATATCAGCTGTGCTAGAAGGGTAGGCAAATGGTTAGAAACATCTGTATATTACTGCGTCTGACAATTGCCGCAACAAATAATTTTCTAATATTTACATCTATCTATCAGAAAACAAGACTCTATAGAGTCAATGTGTATCCGATGAGGTTACTACGAATTAAAAATAATGTAAGAGTACCACCAAACCAAATCCCTCTTCTCGTACATTTTTTTTCTCCTCTTTTTATTAGTATTCCTTATTCTTAACAATAAAAGTGTCGAGAATGTTTGTCTTATATTAATATTAAAACCGTGCGTTTAGAAACGCATGTATGATGTATGTCTCGATCATGCTTTCTTCATGCGTATATCAAATTAACATAACGATAACGCATAAAAATTGCAAGTGCTGTAAAATGCAAGCATCAAATCCATGCGGTAGAAATAAGTCTGAAGCAAATTTAAATCTGCGTATAATTCACGTGTCATTATTATGCGTAAAACATCTTTCAAACGCATAAAAAACATGTTAATGTAACATCCATTAAACCCATGCGTCTAGTAACTAGTTCGTTCTCATTTAAATAGACTGATTAATGGTATGTTTCTAAATGCCAATAGGAAACAAAATTCTGCACAAATGACTGTGATATGATTTCCATGTTTCTAAAGCCTGCATAAGTCCCTTCGGTCACAAAAGTTCGGACAGCCAAAGCTTTAAAATTTCTGAGAAAATGGAAACAAACCAGTTGCTTGCATACACGTCCTATTGGTTTAAAAAGTTATGCGACTTAACCTGCAGTTGTGTTTGCACGCGTCAGCTTATTGTTAGATTGATATTAAGTTGAATGTAACTAGCTACTACTAGCATTTGCAGACTATTATTCTGGACGCTTTTTGATAGTTACTTATAAACATTTTGTAAATTAGTGGTTTTTTTTCGATAAAATATAACAAACAAGGTTTCGGTTACAATAAGTCTTTAATACTTATATCTGATTTGTTTGAAAAAAAACAAGCATCACTTTATAAATTGGATGCGTCAGAAGATCTTTGTCGGATCAATCTAGGTAAAGAACGCTCAAACAAAACAAAAGTTTAAGAGCCAAGAATGTAAAAGTTTAATGTGGTTTTGTTGTGTAAATACATTTCTACAATTTCATAGCATGTTTAAATGTAAAATTCAGCATAATCGCGTGCTTTTTTTTTCTAGTCGTTAATTTGTTAAACTTCTCGCCACGATGCAATACCACTCAAAACATTAATTTTATAAAGGTCTAAGACTTTGTAAAGAATTTGCACATTATTATCTATTATATATTATAAATAGCATATTAGTTTATAAATACCTAATTGCATTAATGTTAAATAAGTCAATTCCATATCTTGTTTTGGAGTAATCACTTGTTCATTGTGTAATAGCCATTACTTTTCAAACGGAATAGACAAAATCATTGTGCTTTATTTTCATGTATTTTTCTGCAATGTTTTTTATAATGCAATATTGAAACTGTACATGCTCCGACATGAATGACTCATATATGAGTTGAAGCTTTTCGAAAAGTACTCTTTTTATTGCAATAACAGTGTGTTTGCTGAAAATATATATATATATGCAGTCAGCAGGGTTTAATAACATCAGATGTTTGACTGTGTGGTCAAATGCGTTTTGTTAAAATATACTTTTCACTTTTGACAGCACAAACAACAATTTCCAAAAGACCAAAAAAAGTGAAAAAGTC